AGCAAGTGGTGCTAATACAAGATAGTTGGTTAGAGTAATAGATTGCAGTACCGTGGATTTGAATCCCTTCAAATAACTTTGTTTACATAACAAATAACACATGCAGTAAATATACACCGTATAATGACTTCCTGAAATACCAGAGAAAATGCAATGGATAAACTGCACTTTTAATTCCTTTTTCAATTGTTATTGAAATTTAAAAGTAAAGTAAGTGTACAGTACTATACTATGTAAACAGTAAAGCACTTTACTGCTTTTTCTCAAGTTTTTAATTCTTACTGTAATGTAACGGAAGTGTGAACAGTGCTTCACTACTGGTTAAGTCTGTTATATCGAATGTTACTATAAGACAGTTTTTCTTTTTTGAGAAATTTTAAACGTTACTGCAATGTAATGGGATCTTGGACAATGCCCCTCTCCTTGTTTTAGTCCATTATATATAAAGTTTACTGTAAGAATGCTGTCTCTGAGATTTTTAAACATGATTCTAACATAATGAAATCCTAGACAATCCTCCCAACCCTTTTGTTTTAGTCCACTACATAGAAAGTTCACTGTAAGATGGTGCTTTTTCTGAAAAAAATATTTATTTATTTATTTATTTATTTATTTATGTCTTTGCAAATAGTACATTGAGATTGTGTATATACAATAGTGGGTTGTAATACAAAGAGAGCCTCTATTATGCCTAGGCATTATGGCCGCCAACTTAACATTACTGGCTTACAGTCTACTTAACACTAAGTAGTAGTATATCATAGTTGTACAGTAGGACAGTAATTATTTCATAGTTATATAGTAGATTATTAATTATAAGTGAATCTAATTTATATAAGACAAAAGATATATTCATATATTCTAAAATGCTTTTTGTGAAAACAATGATTCAATTATATTCCTGTCAACAATGGATAAAAGGTTCAAAGTGATTGTTGAAGTTATGATGTGGGAGTACATAAGTGAGTATGTGTGTACTGAGTATTTAGCATTTAGTCTAGGGTGATTAAGTGGCTTTTGAGAAGAATCTTAAATTGATTTTCAGACCAGGTTACTTTAGTGTTTTCTGGTAATGAATTCCAAATTTGGGGGCCCTTTATGTGTAGAGTTTTTACACAGTGTGATATGGACACGAGGTGTATCAAAAAGAGATCTGTGTCTTGTGTTGTGGTCATGTGTCCTGTTTAGGTTGGTGAGGAGAAGTTTGAGTGGAGGGTTTATATTTGTGTGTATTGTTCTGTGTATGTAGTAGGCACATGAATAAGTATGGATGTTCTTAATGGTGAGCAGATTTAGACTTTTGAAAATTGGTGGAGTATGCTGGCGGGAGTGGGAATTTGTTATCATTCTTACTGCTCCCTTTTGCTGGGTTATTAGGGATTTTAAGTGATTGGATGTTGTTGATCCCCATGCACAAATTCCATATGTAAGATAATGGTATATGAGTGAATGGTACAGTGCCGGGAGAGCTGATTGTGGAACGTAGTATCTTATCTTTGATAGTATGCCTACAGTCTTGGAGATTTTCTTGGTGATTTGTTATATGTGTCTGTTAATTGGATAATTTGCAGCTTTGTTTCCAAACTGAATGAAATATGTTTTATCAGTATTCAGGGTAAGTTTATTAGTTGTCATCCAGGCAGATATTTTCTACAATTCGGCATTGCCAGTGTTTGCTAGTATGACTGTGTTTGGGTGGGAGAAGACGTATGTTGTGTCATCTGCAAATAATATGGGTTTGAGTAGCTGTGATGCATTCGGTAGATCATTGATGTAGATGAGAAAGAGGAGTGGTCCAAGGATGCTTCCTTGTGGGACTCCTACTGTGATTGGTTGGGTGGAAGAGTTTGCACTATTTGCATACACATATTGAGTTCTGTTACTAAGGTATGATTTTAGGTAGTTGAGGGAGTGGCCTCTGATACCATAGTGCATTAATTTGGAGTACAGTAGTTCATGGTCGACTGTATCGAAAGCTTTACGTAAATCAATGAAAATGCCCAGAGGGACTTCTTTCTTTTCAAGTGCGGTATATATTAGTTCTAGCATGTGTACGATAGTGTCATTTGTGCTTTTATTATTTCTGAATCCAAATTGACAAGGGTTTAATATGTTGTGTGAAACGAGGCAGGAATAGATCCGTCTACGAATTAATTTTTCAAAGATTTTAGAGAACAGTGGTAAGTTAGATATTGGTCTATAGTTATTCAAGTCAGCTTGGTCACCTCCTTTATGGATCGGAGTGACCCTCGCTATTTTGAGGATTGTTGGGAAGGTTGATGATTCAATGGATTTGTTAAAGAGCGTTGCAATAATTGGTGACAATACTTGAGAAGCTTTTTTGTACATAAAAGCAGGCAAGTTGTTTATGTCTCCTGCCTTGTTTTTAAGGCTGTTTATGATGATGAGACTTCTAGTGGGTTGATAGGAGCTAGGAATAGCATATTTATCAACATTATTGTGAATGTAATGCATTCTGGACAATGCTGGCACTCCCTCAGTGTTGTTTGTTTTATAGAAGGTTCACTGTAAGATACCACTGTCATGCCCAAGGCAGGTTCAAATTCAAATTCCAAATTTATTCTCTATAAGGATTACAATGCTGAGTTTACAGAATTTGGTTATTGTGTGGTTTACATGTAGTAAAATACTAATTGCAGAGTGTACCACTAGAAACGCCTAGCATGGCTAGGCATTTCGGGCTAAGTGACTAAATACTAGTTTGTGAGTTTAGCAATGTGAATGTTTTGTTTTGGCACTATACATAGTTTAAGGAGGGGTGTTAATGTTGCAGTTTAAAAACTTTAGTGTAAAGCACCCTTCTGGCAAGACAGTGATGGAGTGAATGATGGTGAAAGTTTTTCTTTTTCGGGCCACCCTGCCTTGGTGGGAATCAGCCAGTGTGATAATAATATAATAACATAGTTTAAGTATTGAAGTATCACAGGCCAACTTATGACTAGTTAAGATTCATTATTTTAAGATTGAGATTGATATTTCTGTTTATGGTCAAATGGGTGAGTGAGTGTAAGTGTGAACCACCAGGTGGTATTCGTGTAGTTAGTTGACGTTTACCTGGAGTTTACCTGGAGAGAGTTCCGGGGGTCAATGCCCCCGTGGCCCGGTCTGTGACCAGGCCTCCTGGTGGATGAGAGCCTGATCAACCAGGCTGTTACTGCTGGCTGCACGCAAACCAACGTACGAGCCACAGCCCGGCTGATCAGGAACCGACTTTAGGTGCTTGTCCAGTGCCAGCTTGAAGACTGCCAGGGGTCTGTTGGTGTATCAGGGAGATAAGATGTTTTCTAATGGTAGTTTTGAAGGTGATGAATGTGTCTGCAGTTCTAGAGTTCTCAGGTAGGGTGTTCCAGATTTTAGGGCCTTTGACATACATTGAATTTTTGTAAAGGTTTAGTCGAACACGGGGAATGTCATAGAGATGTTTGTGTCTGGTGTTGTGCCTGTGGGTTCTGTCACAACTATCAAGAAAACATTTTAGGTCAAGGTTAATATTGGAATTTAAGGTCCTGTAGATGTAGATTGCACAGTAGTAAGTGTGGATGTACTGAACAGGGAGTAAGTTTAGATCTATGAAGAGTGGGGGGATGTGTTGCCTGGGATGGGATTTAGTGATTATTCTTACTGCAGCTTTTTGTTGGGTTATTATTGGCTTTAGGTGTGTTGCTGCAGTTGATCCCCAAGCACAAATAGCATAGGTGAGGTATGGATATATAAGTGAATGGTATAGTGTGAGAAGGGCAGTTTGCGGCACGTAGCATCATATTTTGGAGAGGATCCCCACCATTTTGGATACTTTTTTGGTTATGTGTTGGATATGGGTGCTGAAGTTCAGGTTGTTGTCAAGGTATAGGCCTAGGAATTTGCCCTCATTATGCCTGGCAATTAGAGTGTTGTCGATCTTAATGTTAATTTGCACAACTCCTGCTCTGCTACCAAACGTAATACAGTAGGTTTTGTCAGTGTTAAGCATAAGTTTATTGGCTGTCATCTAGACAACTTTCAATGAGCTCTTCACTAACCTTTAAAGACACAGAAGCATCCAGTAACTACCTGACCAATCTTACAAGGAAATTTGACTTAAGCAAAAGTAATAATAGTTGTAGTAACAGTAGTACTAGCAACAACAGCAGCAGAAATCACAGCAGCAGCAGCAGCAATGGAAGCAGTGATGGCAGCAGGTGTAGCAACAACAGCAGCAACAGCAGCAGCAACAACAGCAGCACCAGCACCAGCAGCACCAACAGTAGAAGTATGGTATGCTAGTAACTGTAGTAGTAGTAATAGTTGCAGCAATAGTAGCAGTAGTAATAGTAGTATAAAAATAGAAAAATTAAAAAATAAAATATTTTATACTATTTAACACTGACTGAAGGGAATATAATAAAAAATAGCATCGCACAATCTTAAGTGGAAGGCCACAATCTATAGCTCTTCAGAATGCTATATCCTTAGTTATAGATCAGTTTTAAAAATGACAGACTTATATAGCTAGGGTTTCTTCAAAAATCTCATTTTGTGTCGTGATTTAGAAAGCAATTTTTTTTTTATATCTAATTTAAACTTATTGAAAAAACTGAATTTATTATGTGGTTTGAGTAGTGATTTCTGTAGTCATGTCTGCATGTACAAGCAAGGATATAATTACGTGTGCATGTTAAGCCAGCCATATATTCACATCTGCATGTATAAGCAAGGCATATATTTGTGTGTGCTTGTATAGCAAGGCATATATTCATGTGTGCATGTATAAGCCAGCCAGATATTCATGTCTGCAGGTATAAGCAAAGCATATATTTATGTGTGCACATTAAGCAAGGTATACATTCACATGTGCTTCTTTAAACAAGCCATATATACACATGTGTATAGTGTAACAATGTAGTATATACTCAAGAATGTGTGTGCAGTACGGATGTTTATATTCACGGATGTGTGTGCTGTAGTTGTAATTCTACTCACATGTTTGTGTTGGTCTGCAGGTGTTGGTGGCCGCGCAGAGCAGCGGAGACTCAGCCACCATGAAGAAGATTGGCCTAACTGTCTACTTCATGACCTCTATGGCTGTTCTCATGATGAACATGTAGAGCCTGAGGCACATTTCTCACCACCACCACCAGCCTTCTTTCTCCTCCTGACCACCATCATCACTACAAGATATGATAAATATGCAACAATCTTACCACCATGAGTGCTGACACTGTACCTTCGGCTGCTACATAATGATCTTGTTTCTACATGTACCATCGCTTTTTTATGCTGCAACGACTGAACTAAAGTAGTATCTTCCTCTGTCAGGGCTAAATATAATATTTTTAACAGAGAGTTCCTGATATTAACTTCAAAACTGTGTTTGTGGTATTAAAATGTGTGAAGAATTGTGTCCCACAGACGGAATCAGTGTGGGGAAGGCTGTCAGCAGGGTGCAGGAGACAGGAGGCCAGCTGGATGGCTGGCTAATAGGCTGGCTGCTAGCTGGCTGGCTTGCTAGCCACTTATACTAGATCACAAGGAAACTCTTCCTTAGTTTAGTTGCAGTTTAAACAATATCACCACACAAGGGGTTAGAATCTAGCTACATCATATATGTAGCCTGGCTGGAAGACACAATGCCATCAAGATGGGTAATACAAACACAACACAAATCACACATTTATGAAACTCTCTTTTTCTAAAGCAGAGTTTATTATGATTTAATAAAACTCTCTGAGCAAAACGATCATGTTAAAGGCTTACGTTTGTCTGGATGTGTTTGTATCACCCAAGGTGTCATTAAACAGCATAGTAACACTGTATTTGCTTCATTTACGACTTTGTTATGGACAATCTGAAGGTGTTTATGTGTTTATACACCAGTAAGCAATAATTGTGAATGAGAAATAAAAGATGCAAACTAACCACAGGGAGAGTATGATAGCTCTAAGTCTTTCCTGTTGCAATCAACGTACCAATATAAGCTCCTGGTGATGCGTTAAATGCAACACAAAAGACCCCAAGCTATCACTCCCCCTCGACCCCAGTGGTTATTCTGCATATGCCAGTACAGTTTAGAAGGCCAGTACTTATGAATATAACTATACTCTTGTCAGACTGAATTCAAAATACTCAAAAAAAACATTTTACTCAACTGAAAGGTGAATTATCATTATAAAACCGAAGGCAGCCTTCAATCTGTTATAAAATATAATCAACGATGCTGTTAATATAACTCCCCGAGATATAAATAGGCCAGTGTTATTCCTAGTCTCAATTATTGAACAGATAATCAAGTGTTTGTTATGCATCCATGTGTCTAGTGTAGCTGTGGGTGACGTTTGTGTAGCGCTGTCTTAGTCTGTTCCTTATTAACTCTTGTCAGGATGTATTGTAGTAGTCCCCAACCTTTTTAGCATGAAAGGGCCAATTTAAAAAGCCAAATTTAAAGGAGGGAAGCATTTTGTAATGATCGATATTAACATTATACTTATAGTTAGCCCTTATTCAATACTGATTACATGGTTATTGTCACTAACTACACAATCACAAACACTTAAGCTCAAGAACACTTCAACTGTTCATTTCATTCATAACACCTAGAAATTTAAATATACAGACGAACAATTTCTAACAATCACTGCTGACATGAACACAGCACAGCATGTGCTAACATCCACTACATGTGCTAAATGTACTACATGTGCTACTAGGATAAATTGGCACTGACCACAAGTGACAGGTGGTTGTTAGAGGTGGCAATAAGGTTTCGGTGTAAAATGGCTTTAAATATTTTTTAACTGACATGGTGCAGTGTGGAACCTACGTAGAAGTGAATTCACAATTTTATGTGAGGGGCCGCATCCATTGTTAGAAGGGCCCCAGGTTGGGGACCCCTGATGTATTGTATCTAACACACTACTAACCAGTTGAACTCTGCACAAACCTGGCCCATGGCCGGGCTCCGGGAGTCGAAAAACTCTGGCAACTCATCAGAGGTATATCACAGGCAAAGGTATATATATATGTGTGTGTAAAATATTGGTGACTCTTAGTAGGCTCATGTGATGCAGTAAATCACAGAATGGGAGATTTGAACCCATGGTAATCAAGTCTTTACTCACAGTTCATGCCAACATGAGTTGTGAGTCACGGCCGCTGCCGGGGGTATCCAAGATGTAGTACATGAAATGAATCTCAGTTTGTAGGCCTACTTAATAATAATTTTTATTTCAGCATCATACAATGTTTGTACAGAGACAGCAGACGTTTTACTGTACATGCAGAAGCCCATTGTTATGCAGAGCATTTTGGGCAAACTTAAACCTAACTTAAGATTACAATGGCAATAACTTAAATATAAGACTACAGTGAACTAGGCCTAAGTAGCTAAATTAGCTACCACACATGAACTACTCTGAAGGAGGGGTGTTACTGTTGCAGTTTAAAAACTGTAGTGTAAAGCAGCCCTCTGGCAAGACAGTGATGGAGTGAATGATGATGAAAGTTTTTCTTTTTCGGGCCACCCTGCTTTGGTGGGAATCGGCCAGTGTGTTAATAAAATATAATAATAAAAAACATGAACTACTAGGCTAGGTAAGCCTAACCAATTTCCTATCTCTTACTGTTAAAAAAATTCTCATTTTAATAATTAACAGGCTATAATTTATAATTTTTGAGGCCTACATACACAATGCTGCACAATATTGAAAACCTTGGATGCCCCTGTGCTGTAATGTTGCTGAACAGTGCACTGTTTAGCCTAGAGCAGGATGGCTACAAGCTCCCCTTCCTCTCTTCCACAATTCCCCTCATAAGAGCTTCACAGAAGCTCTCTGTGTTGTACATAGCTAACATTCCACACCTGCCTCTAGTACATAAGTGTTATACCAACAGGTATGTAGATATGAAGTTGATCAAACCCAAATGTTCTTGGTACCAGCGGACAGGTAGAGAATCGAACGTGGGAGCAATTCCGCTGTCCTAAGACCTGGTGTCAACCAGTCCCTCCACAGACCCCTTGCTTCCCACCTTGTGTATATTAACCCCCTGCCCCCCACACCATGTATACCTACCTATATCCAGTATATATATACTACTGCAGGTGTAATGTGGAGGACCTGCCATCTGTCTCTCCTGTATTCATTTTGATACATCACTAGCAACTAACCCTCGCTAACCACTACCAACCCTAGTATATAGTATATATGACAATATAAACCTGGTATTTGTCTAGCTCTATTCCCCCAGGTTACATCCTTCCATTCTCTGTGCTACTCAATCTTTCCACTACCCTCCAGTTTTCATCAATCAATTTTCATCAATCTTGAATTCTCTTTATTTAAATTGAGCATTTCTTCACTATCAAATTTTTATTTCCCCCCTCCTCTTATTTTCAGTATCTATTGTTTGCTCAGTAATAACTCACATGCAGACAGAAACTCGGAAGATTGATTGATCTGTATATTCTGACCCCCTTCTGGGGTCCTCTGCAGCAGGAGAGGACCCCAGAAAGGGGTAAAAATACACAGACCAATCAATCTCCTGTGTCCTGTCTCCACCTGGGTTATTACTGAGCATTTATAAGTATTCATTATACTTTAGTTATTCATCTATTGTTTCTTTTAAAGTAATTTAATAAATTTTCTTAACTATATAAGTAACTACACAATAACTAAGTGGGTGAAATAGTCTTCAGGACCCTGACTACTGGTCAGGTTGTTGGTGGATAGCACACACCGTGACAACCAAATGACATACTACCAATGATAGTGGAGGACAGACTGGCTGTGGAAACTTTTACTGGGATGTTTCGCCCTGTCTAGAGTGAAACATCGGCCCAATAAAAGAGCATCCTGCAGCCTGTCCATTCTTCACGTCAGTTAAGATTGCGTTGATCTTTTCATTATCATTGACATGATTTATTAAAAATGCCATCTTTTATTAAAACTGACATCTTTTATTAAAACTGACATCATTTATTACAAATGACATCATCTGATCAATTTGGTTCTTTTCACCATGGGATTATTAGTTAATAAATTCTAGCATTGTGTAAAAGTTGGTTTTATTAATTCCAAAGAATTTATTATGTGCAACAATAAGAGAATTTAATCAAAATATGTTGCAGATATCCAAACCTTTGCCTAGAAAGAAATAACTCTGTGGCACTTAGTAAGTAAGTAAGTAAGTAAGTAAGTAAGTTTATTCAGGTATACACAAATACAGTTACATAGAATTATCATACATAGCAGCATATGTGTAGAGAACCTGGGATAACACAAAAAAGTCAGACAGTGACTTATTTCCATTGGGGTCCTTGAGCATACCTCAAGAAAAAAGAAAAAACGTAGGAGAGTCGCTCCCTCTACAGGTGACGGTGAAGAATCACAGAGCTGTTGAAAGAGGTCAGAATATCTAAATACAGAAGGAGGCACTGGCCAGAGAAATAGAAAATACTGAACTTAAGCCTAGGGAATCATACAGGAGCCAAGAAACACAGGACGAACTTAAGGCTATAAATAAAATAAATATATACATATATTTCTTTTCTTGTGCCAAATCGAGGGCAAAAACCACATCCAATATTGGACCCCTGCTTAAACAAAATGGGACTTACACTGATGACAGCAAGGAAATGAGTGAGATACTGAAATCCTAATATGACTCAATGTTTAGTGAGCCATTAACCAGACTAAGAGTCAACAATTCAAGAATTTCTGAAATAATCCCAACACCACAGGACATTGAAAAAGCAAGAAATGACATGGCCATGCACTCTGCCCCAGATCCAGACTCATGGAACTCTGTGTTCATCAAAAACTGCAAGAAACCTCTTTTACGTGCCTTCATCATTCTATGGAGAAGTAGCATGGACAGGGGTCATCCCACAACAACAGACATAGCCCTACTCCACAAAGGTGGCAGTAAAGCAATTGCAAAGAATTACAGACTGATGGCACAAACGTCCCATATCATAAAAATCTTTGAAAGGGTTCTAAGAAGCAAGACTGCCAACTACTTGGATACCCAAGTGGTTGGCAACTGCACAACCCAGGGCAGGATGGGTTTAGAGCAGGTTTCTCCTGCCTCTCACAACTACTGGACCACTATGACATGGTCTGGGATACACTGGAGGACAATCAAAATGCAGATGTAGTATACACAGACTTTGCAAAAGCCTTCAACAAGTGCAATCATGGTGGAATACCACACAATGTGTGATAAAGGAATAACGGGTAAAGTAGGAAGATGGATCTCTATGTTCGTCACACAGAACACAGAGTAATAATAAACAGAGTGAAGTCAGAGGTAGCTAAAGTGAAAGGCTCTGTTCCACAAGGCACAGTACTCTCTCCCATCCTGTTCCTCATCCTTATATCTGTTACAGAGTTGGCCCGGTGGCCTGGTGGCTAAAGCTCCCGCTTCACACACGGAGGGCCTGGGTTCGATTCCCGGCGGGGTGGAAACATTTCGACACGTTTCCTTACACCTGTTGTCCTGTTCACCTAGCAGCAAATAGGTACCTGGGTGTTAGTCGACTGGTGTGGGTCGCATCCTGGGGGACAAGATTAAGGACCCCAATGGAAATAAGTTAGACAGTCCTCGATGACGCACTGACTTTCTTGGGTTATCCTGGGTGGCTAACCCTCCGGGGTTAAAAATCCGAACGAAATCTTATCTAATCTTAAGCCACAGACCTGTGTCTTCCTTTGCTGATGATACCAGAACTTGCATGAGTGTGTCAACCATTGAAGACAATGCAAGTCTCCAAATGGACATTAACCAAGTCTTCAAATGGACATTAACCAAGTCTTCAAATGGACATTAACCAAGTCTTTAAATGGACATTAACCAAGTCTTTAAATGGACCTCAAAATATTATATGAAGTTCAATGAAGATAAACTGCTATAGAAAACTCGATTAAATTAAAATTGTATCAGAGTATAAAACAAATTCCAACCACATAATAGAACAAAAAACTAATGTGAAGGACCTGGGAGTGATAATGTCAGAGAATTTCACTTTCAAAGATAACAATGTGTCTACCACATCTGCTAGGAAAATGATAGGATGGATAATGAGAACCTTCAAAACTAGGGACGCCAAGCCCATGATGATTCTCTTTAAGTCGCCTGTTTTCTCTGGGCTGGATACTGCTGCACACTAATGGCCCCTTTCATGGCAGGTGATATTACAGACCTAGAGAATGTACAGAAAACTTTCACTGTGTGTATAAGTGCAATAAATTACTGGGAACAGTTGAAGTCCTTCGATTTGTATTCCCTGGAACACAGGCAAGAAAGATACATGATAATATACACATGGAAAATCCTAGAGGGATTAGTACCAAACCTATACAAGAAAATCACTCTTTACGAAAGGAAAAGACTCGGCAGGAGATGCAACATTCCCCCGATGAAAAGCAACGGTGCCACGAGTACACTGAGACAACACACTAAGCATCAGGGTCCCAAGACTGTTCAACTGCCTCCCAGCATACATAAGGGAGATTACCAATAGGCCCCTGACTGTCTTCAAGAAGGCACTGGACAGGCACCTAAAGTCAGTACCTGATCAACCAGGCTGTGGTTGCTATGTTATAATAATAATAAAAACAATAATAATAATAATAATAAATCTTTATTTATTACTAGTACATGTACAAGGTAAACAGACCATAGCTGACATGAATAACATTATACTATATAGAAAGCCCCTTGTTATGCTGAGCATTTCCTGCAAATTAGGTCAGTTTTGGCCCAGGATGCGACCCATACCAGTCCACTAACACCCAGGTACCTATTTTATTGATGGGTGAACATGGACAACCGGTATAAGGTAATAATTCCAATATTTCCACCCCTTTGCTGGGAATCGAACCCGGACCCTCACTGTGAAGCGAGAGCTTTTGCCACCAGGCTACTGGGCACCATCAGTAACAACCTGGTTGATCAGTCCCTGATCCACCCTAAGGACTGGTTATGGACCGAGCCATGAGGGTCAAGGAACCCAATGGTAAGTCAGCTAAATGCTAAGTCAAGGTATACAATGGTAATAAACCAGGGGACACATTGGTAGCAAGTTAATTACATTTTTTGGGTTATCATAGGTAATTTACACATAAATTACTATGATAATTGTAATTAGGTCAACTTGTATAATTGTACTTATGTGTAACTGTGCCTAAATAAACTTATGGACCTTTGTAATATCTGAATCACAATTCATCAAAATATCTAAGTTACTCATTATTATTTCTGGTGATATTTCCAATTTTCTCTTAACGTGAATATTAAAGGAAATGATTTCTTGGGGTAACTAAAATTGTATGGAGCGAGTGTTGTGTACTTGGCTATTTGTGGTTGTAGGGGTTGACTCATAGCTCTTGGCCCCGCCTCTTCGCTGGAATGAGTGCAGGCAGGTAGGTAGGTTGACAAGAAAGAAGGTAGGCAGGATAGAAGGAAGGCAGGATGGAAGGAACGAAGGAAGGCAGGGAGGTAGAAAGGCAGGCAGGTGGAAAAGCAGGCAGGTAGGAAGGCATGCAGGAAGGCAGGTAGGTAGGCAAATAGGCGGTAGTGTGTTGCTAAACAATTCTATATGATAGTTACACAGTGGGAACACCAGCAGTGTTGCTACACTATTTTATATGATAGTTACACCGTGGTAACACCAGCAGTGTTGCTACACTATTCTATATGATAATTACACAGTGGTAACACCAGCAGTGTTGCTACACTATTCTATATGATAGTTACACAGTGGTAACACCAGCAGTGTTGCTACACTATTCTATATGATAGTTACACAGTGGTAACACCAGCAGTGTTGCTACACTATTCTATATGATAGTTACACAGTGGTAACACCAGCAGTGTTGCTACACTATTCTATATGATAGTTACACAGTGGTAGCACCAGCAGTGTTGCTACACTATTCTATATGATAGTTACACAGTGGTAACACCAGCAGTGTTACTACACTATTCTATATGATAGTTACACAGTGGGAACAATAGCTAGCTATGTTTCCCTGTCATATTCCATCACACAGGTTGGGTTACACAGTGTTGGACACCCATCTCATTCGTGATTCACGAAATCGTAATGACACGATTGCAAACAAATCATTCCACGGGTGGGGTTTGATCCCGCGGTCAGAGAGTCTCAAGGGTCATCCACGATCCTCAACCCCCCCATCGTGGGTCTTAATTACGAGATGGGCTCCTCCATGGGTTCCCCATCACCCTTAATGGGGCACAGTTATCACATTCATGGCGGGGGAGCGCTAAACTATTAAGGGCTCATACGGTGTCCGAGGGAGGGTGAGGTTAGTAGCCTTCGATGTCGTGGAGGATTGGATCATTGTCTCTAGGATCAAAATCGTTTCACCTGGATCAAAGCAGGGAGAAGACATGTTCATGAACCTTACGAACCCTTAGCAACTATAGGTTTAAGGTTGATTTATAGACAAATTCTGAGCATATCTCAACAGCGTGTGACAGCCGGGAGCCGTGACTCGACCCCTGCAACCACAAATAAGCGGGTACATTTTTAACAACATCTGACAGTTCATTAACACTGCAGTGTTACTAATGCTGAGTAGGCCTACTGTAATGTCTCTCCTTACTCCATGTTACTAATATACAGTAGACCTACTGTAATGTCTCTCCTTATTCCATGTTACTAATGTACAGTAGGCCTACTGTAATGACTGTCATGACCTTTTTTCAGGCCTACTGAAGTATACTGTGCTTATAGCCCCGTTCCAGTCACTAATGTACAGTAGGCCTACCGTAATGTTTCACGGTCTTTGTAACCCTCTACAGGGAGGCTTACTTTCTACCTTGGGTCTAATGCGCAATAATTAACATTTTAAAACAGAGGTGAATGTTTGTGGTGACGCGACGCGTCCAGCAGCTGGACCGTGAGAACAACCTACACACACACACACACACACACACACACACACACACATGAAGATTGGGGAGGGGCAAAGAAGACCGCAGACAGAGTATAGGCTAGGTGGACAAAGACTACAGACCTCACTCAGGGAGAA